AAAAAAAAAAATTATGGAGTTAACTCTGTAAAGTTTTTGCAGTGAAGATCGGGCTGATTCATCGAAACAACGCTCAGAATCTGACATGAGCAGTTCAGAGGAAGTTTCGTGGATAACTTGGTTTTGTGGTCTTCGTGGTAATGAATTCTTTTGTGAGGTTAGTTGGTTTGATTGGGTTAAAGGTCATTGCTGCCGTTATTATGGGCCTTCACGTTTTCCGAAGTATTTCTGAAGATCCTGCCAACAAGAAGTGCATGTCTGCTGGAACAATTCCAACTCTCCAAAAAAAAGCTTGGTACGATTATGATTTGGGGGTAGGTTTCATGTATTCGGGAAGCACGTTCTAGGAAGGCTATAGCCGTTTAAAAGTTCTAAGAACGAGCAGCAGAATTATGCTACACCGATTGATGATGACTCGTCGTTTTTTGAGTTGCATGTTACTATTTTGAGCCATTTTATGTTTCTTGCACAGCTCGCTACATTCCCGAAAAGTTTTTCGTCCATTGAGGAAATTTATTTCGAAACCAGCCTGCATATTCTTAGGAACTCTTAAGAAAAAACCACTTAGATGTGGTTAATTCAGTTAGGAGCAATACGCTGATTTTTCGAGTTGTGTGCTTTTTTTTGCTTTTTTGTGTTTTCTTTTTTTCCTACATAACTTCTGCTCTGTCTGGGACGTTCATTCTGGAACCAGCTTATTTTTATTATGAGGCTTCAAGAACGAGTTGTTCAAATGTGTTAGTTGGATCAGCAATTAAAAATTGATTTTTTGAAGTACATATCTTTTTTGGGCAGATTTTTTTTTTAAAGGAGCGTTTAGGAAAGAGTCTGTGGTATTGTGCTGCAGATAACACGAGAAACTACTACGGGAGAAGAAATCAGAGCGAAAAAGAGGCAATCAACATTAAAAATAGAATCTTGATTTGTGATCAAACCAGAACAGAAGTCGTTGACTTTCAAAGCTTTCTGATCAACACGGGCTAGCTCCGGGATTGACGTGATGGATGGGCGGGAAGTTTTCTGGAAATACAAAAAAATGAAAGAAAAACGTAACTCGAAAGATCGATCTACAATTCTTAGTCAAACCAACATAGTTGAGCAGCTCGTTCTTTGAGCGTATAGGAGAGGGTTCCTGATGAGTGTGCGTTGGTTTCCGAATGTATATCCTGGTTGGACAAAAACCGGTCTGCGGGTGCAGCAAACCTATAAAAGAAATGGTGTTTAGCTCAAAAAGTAAAATATAACTAAAAAAGGCGACAGATGACTCATAGCTAGACTAGCATATTTCAGTTGCTTGTCCTGAAAGTGTTGTAATGACTATAGAATTCTTTCCAGAACGGGAATTTAATACTTAAGAGTTGTCCTGGGGTCATGTCCGTAATAAGCTTCATGTTCGAAAAGCTAGGATTTTCTCAGCAGACACGCGTTTTCTATTGGCGGGATTTTCAGGGTGGTTTGAAAGTGAAAAGTTTATACTTTACGTTGTTTTTACTTTTATTCTAGATCTCTTGTGATTTTTGTAAAGAAGTTTTAAGAAATTTTCCGTTATTTAGGTGGACGAAGAGTACATACAAGACAAATTCAATTTAACCGGACTCAACGAACAGGTCCCTCATTATAGACAGGCGTTAGATATGATTCTTGATCTTGAGCCAGGTAAGGTTTTCGGCAACTTTTTTTTGATGAAGTCGGTTTGATTCAGTTTAATTATTGTCGGCCTGAAGTCATTCTAAGGGGCATACTGATTTGAAGATAAAATAATGAAGACTTTTGGCTTACCTCGAAAACAGTCTTTGTTTTGACGTTTAAATTAATTGATTTATCTTGTTTTTTTTTTTCTTTCTGGGGTCGAAGTGCTAGGTTATGTATATTGTTTTTTTTCACTTTTTAGGAAAATTTTTTCTGTCCTAACCTTTCTTTAATACAATTTCTTTTTGTTTCTGACATTCTGTATTTTTATTGCACTTCAAGGACTTTTTATGTTGGTAAATGTATTCTTTTGTAAGTAAATTTGCTTAATTTTTGAAAGCAAATATGGAAGCACTAGTGTGGAGCTCCATTGGTCTGTCACTCCATCGTATTTTTTGGTCTAAAGCAGTGATGGAGAGGGAAAGAAACGGCAAAGGTAGTGGTTATGTGGGAATTGGGGATGTAGGTGAGAATCCGAAATTGTACGGAAGTGTGTAAGCTGTTGGTAACAGCTAACGGTCGGCGCAGTCTATTGATTACATAGCACTGTAATGTTCGGAATGATTGCTCTGCATGATTGCTCCGATTCATTTCCAAAAATTATTGCATTCTTTTACTGCTTTTTCTCAAGTTTTATGTACTGGACAGTGGTTGTGGCGACGCAAGCTGACAACGAAGGGGACAGGTCAAAAGGAGTTTATTCAAGTCTCTTTGAATTAGCGGCAAAATTATTTTTGGCAACGCCGCTCTTTAGGTTTTTTAATTCAATTAACTATTGTTGCAACTTGGATCTTTTTTCAGAGATGTTGGACACAGAAGGCTATTTTTTGTTACCTGAGCAGAATTACTAAATTTTGAACCAAGTTCGTTTTACGCGTGGAAAAGTAGTAGTTGTTTTAAATGTTTTTAAACAGATTTGTATTTTGGACCGTGACGGAGTAAATAAGTTTTTTGCTGTAGTGGAGCAGAAACGTACATTATTGCATAATACCTGTCATTTTGTAGAGTAGTTTCCTAGTTGGTAATTGAAATGGTAAATTGAAACTTGTTACTTCGCACTTTATGAGAATCATGTTTGTTCTTTGAATTTAATTACTCACTGCATTTGAGAAGTATTATTATTGTAACTTTCAGATTTGTTTTGGACATTAATTTTGCTCGTACCATAAACATTTCTGCAAAGTTTGGACTCAGATTTTACAGGACATTTCCATCATTTCATGTTAATTTTTATTTTTTATCTAACTGCCATTTGAACTCAGTTTTTAAAAAATGTAGCTGGGAAAGCGAAAGTTCAGATCAGTATTAAAAAATTCCAAGAAAGGGTGGAGTACACACGCACACTTTTTCTTGTTATAATTTGTAGAAGGCAGTGGAGTTCGGTGAAGTTTCTGAGATCTAGTTTTGAAGCTTTATCAAGGCGTAACTAGTGTGTGTCTTCCACACGGAAATCAGTAAAACAAGTAATTTATTTTTAGTATTACACTCGCCAGAGTTAAATGTTTTAAGTTTTTTGGTATTGGAAGCAAGGGAATTGCAGGTCATTGTATAAATTAGGCTAACTATTCACATTTGAGCTGGTAGAAAATTATTGGATAATAATTGTCATTTTTTAGACCAGTTCTCTATTTGCTTAGCTTTTAAACATATTTTTGGGCAGTCTAATTTTTGTAATTTTGAGCTATTAATTTCTTTGCTGTCATCTGCTTATGCTTTGCGTTGGTCGCACGTGAAGGCAAGTTTTTACATGAAGAGATCTTTCTTTTATTTATTTAACTTTTTTCTTGTAGTAGTTGTTGGGATATTAAAAAATTATTGCCATCTCATATTTCGCGATACTTCTAGTTCCTTTAATTGGTAGTTTATTATCTGATATCAGATAATGTGTGTTGTATTATGGGATGGTTGCTTATAAGCGTTAGGCTTTTATACTGTGGAAACCAGGGCGGTATTTGTTGGATTCTTTGAATGGTTAAGGTTAAATATAATCTTATTTGGAAATGGGCATTGGCGTACTTTATTTCTCTGAAAAATGATCAGGTAGACCGAAAGATTTAGGTAGTTTGGCGAATACGCATAATTGGAGTTATGTCTTTTTTTACACAAAAAGTAAATACCAGTGTGGTAAAAAACGGATATTCAGCAGTCAGTTCTTTAAAGTTTTTGCCATTTTTCTTTATCTGTTTGAAACTTTTTGCTTAGACTGGTTCTACCTTGCTAAACTGATTGCTTTTTGGTTTTGAAACATACGCTCACTCTGTTCATTACATTTATGAAACCTATTTAGGGACTTCCTCTGTATTTATTTTTCTCTGTCATTCTTTTGATCTACTGGGCTATTCTTAGAGTGAAATGGAATTCACCTCATATTGAGAAAGCTACGAAAAGTCCAGTAGAAATGCGTCATTATTTTTTGTTGTACAGGACTCGCGGTTTTTTAAAATCGATTAGTTCTGTCACGCATTCGGGTGCTGGTTGATTTTAAAGAGTTTTAGACATTGGTTTTATTTACCACAAAATTGAGTAAGATTTTGTGAGGGGATTTATTAGTAGACGCACTTTGGTTTTTGATGTTACACTATAGAATTACCTGATGGCCTTAAAAAACTAGCTCTTTGCTCATACAGATGATGATTTCGAAGAAAATCCGAATCAGTCTGATCTAGTTGAGCAAGCGGCAGAAATGTTATATGGGCTTATCCACGCTCGGTATATCCTGACAAATCGCGGGATCCAACAGATGCTTGAAAAGTGGCGTGAAGGTGATTTTGGAGTTTGCCCACGGGTTTACTGTGAAAATCAGCCAATGCTTCCAATAGGTATGTCAGTTATGCTTTTTCTGTGTAACCGCCTTGGAGTAACCTTTTGAGCTACATACATTTTTACCTTGAAATTTGTTTAGTTGTTTACGGCGTTGTGAGTTTAAAGGTGAAGTAGGAGTGGTTTTGTTTAGGCCTCTCTGATATTCCTGGTGAGTCAATGGTTAAATTATATTGCCCACGTTGCTGTGATGTTTACGTACCAAAGTCGTCCAAACATCAGAATACTGATGGCTCCTATTTTGGCACCGGTTTCCCTCACATGTTGTTTTTCGTGCATCCCGAGGAACGTCCAATCCGCCCTCCCGCTAAATTTGTACCTAGGTCTTTAATTAAACCATTTTCTTTTTTTGATTTGTAGGTTTTTTTAGTGTTCGTTTCTAAAAATGGTGGGGTTTATTGTGTTTTTAATCTTTATTTTCTATTCTTATTTCATAAAAAGCTGCTTGGATAATGCCTTTAATTAATGGCTTTTTTGTTTGCAATTAGTTTTCCTGTTAGAGTGGTCGAAATGGTTCTGACATGTGCGTGGCAAAAACAATTTGTAGCTTACTCCTTTTTAATTTGGCTTTTTTCTAACTGTAACCTTCATTTAGACGGAGGTTTTTTCTGTGTACAGAAAGAGTGAATCTCTCATTGAGTTTGCTGGGAATTTTTTATGAAAATTCAATTGGGATATGCAATGACAGTTATGTATGACCGATTGCACAGATATGTGACTGTTGTTTTTTTAAATGGCTTCAACTCATTTTTTTCCTTCTACTGTATGAGAAAAAAAATTGTGACAGATCTCATTAGCAGAACTGCAAGGTTTTTTACACTCCAGGTCGCTTGTATGGAGAATTTGCCTCTTATAAAATTAACAGAAATTTATGTAAAGCAAAGGTTTTTTTTAATGTTTTTCAAACGTTTTAGTCCTTTTTAAGTTGGGGTTTGTTTTCGTATTTACTAGCTTCAGAATGAATATTTTAGAATTTAAAGGTATGAGAGGATATCAAACAGCATACGGAAACAAAGCAAAAAAAACTAGCAATATTGAAAATCTAGTAATAATAATAATCGAGAAGGATCCGAATAAGATTGTGGCGAGTAGGCGTGAGCACGAACATTCAAACTTACCTGTCTTCTGTTCTTAAAATTTGCAAAAATTATTCAACGTAATTTGTACAGAAAGTGAGCTTTAGTTTAGAAAACTAATCAACTTTACTTTGTTGAAAAGTTTGGGACGAATCAAAAAGGTGGGATATGAGTGCTTTGTCCTTTCTTATAATTTCATACTATAGTTAGACGTCATGAATTATCCACTAAATTGTAGGAATTTCTATGATTGTCAGTGCTGTATTTACTTCTGAGAGCACTGTCATATTTCTCTGTTTCACTTTTGTTGTCATATAAGCAAAAAAGTTGCGGATATTTTGTGGTCAAATAACAGTGGTTACAAAAATGTGCTATCGGTCGTGCTATTTTGAGCGGCGCAGTGTGTTTCATGAATTCATGTAGTGTCGGGTACTTACTGTGGTTTGATGCAATACAGTTCCGAAGCAGTTGCTTGAGTTTTACGCCTCTTTATTGACTTTTTTTGCTCGTCTTAGTTGTCTCCTGAAATGTTTGGTTTCTATCTTTTATGCTAGATTTAAGGGCTAATTTCCTAGTTTTGCTGATTTTTTTACTGTCATTTCTTTTCAGGCTATATGGTTTTAAAATTCACCCACTTGCTTATAGTTTACAATATCAACAAGCACAAGGAAACGCCCAGTTACCGGTAAATGCATCTCCAGTACATGCTATTCACGGGGGTCTTAATGCATCACTTTTTGGTTCTAAATAATTATTGTTTCAAAATAAAGTCCCAATTTTTTCCAACTGAAAATTGGCTTTTTTTTTTCTTAATATGACTTTTAACTCATTGGTTATCCTGTCCTTGCGAGGTTGAACGTATTTCGTGTTGGCTTTGAGGTACTACGTTCTGCCAGTTTTCTTCCTTTTAGATCGTTTTCAAGTAAGGATAGTATCTTTAGCCGGTTGAAATGCTCTTCTGGCATCATAGATCCATTTCGCCTCTGAGTTGCACGATGTTTGATGGTTTTATAGTGAAAACGAGATTCTGCTAGTTTATAATTTTTGTTCATCGTTTGTTTGTCGTTTTGTTGTTTTTGATGCTTAAGATACTCACTAGCAGTTGTAAAAGTTTTATTGGTGTATATTTCGTGATGTGTAACCTAGGACTATTTGTTTCTGGTTTTCCTTCGTAGAATCTGCCTTATATTTTTTACTTCTTCCATGAGAGTTTAAAAGTCCATATGTTGTCAAGGCCAGGTACTAAAGAACCACGCGGATGAAGGAAAAGGTAGAACAGAAATGAAATTAAGCATAAAACAATTCTGCAGTTGCTGCTAGAAGTGTCAAATATTTCCAGAAGAAAATGAGATAAGGTTGCTGATGTAAGTTTGTTTTCTCAGTTCCTTTCATGTGGTTAGCAATGCACCATTTCATGACTCTGTGCGCGTGAATTTGGCGCGGTTCTTTGGTGGGAAGTGGGTTTTCCACCTCTTATTGACCATGTTTGAGATTTCATTTCTATT